AAGTGCGTCCGATGTATGCTCTGCAGCCAGAAGCCTGGCCAGGGCTGCGTAATGTCGAGTAGCGGATAGGTAACAGGTTCGTGGGGAACGATATTATGAGATAACTGACAATTGCCCTAGACAAAAAGCTGTTTAAAAGGTGTTTGGTATGTAAGAGGGAGGAGAGACGGGCGTTTGGCAGGCTTGTTCAGTGCAGTCATTGGCTTTTGGGGAGGATCCTGCTCTGAGGGCTGAAATAACACCACGTTGTGCTCTTCACATACCACAAACTTTACACATCAGCTGTTAAAGCTGCAGCACAGACCAAAGAAGAAAAAAAGGATTTGACAGCGAAAGCTGACTCTAACAGAGAAAAAGCACATTAGATTTAGAGCACCGTCATTGTAATGTAAAATCCAGTATTACCCAGAACTCGGCCTCTGAGCAGATAATTTGCTTATTACTAATAGTTACTTGTTCACTTAGAGACCTTTTCTGGACTAGGTTTTGACTGTATGAACTGCTGTAAAGCTTTCCCTGTTACCTGAAAGTTAATACTGCAAAGCTGAAAATGTAAATCATTGTTAAAGCACGCAGTCCTAAGCTGAAATGGAGAGGGAGCCGGGGGTGAACCCCTCCAAAATTCAAACCCTCAACATCTGAAGTGGAGTTACTACTGGTCCAGCACTGAAATGGTATACACTTAAATACAGCAGTGACGGCCTGCTCAGGCTGCTGAAAAGCTTGCCCTTAAATTACGTGGTATGAAACAGCAAATGGTAGATGGTTAAAGTAAGCATCTGCCTCACGCAGTCCTGGCACCTGGAGATTCAGCAGACTCAAGACACGGCCTTTGCTTCTGAGAACGGGCAATACAGCAGGCTTCATACAGTGCTGTGCCACGCGCCACAGTGGTTTTGAATATGCATATGATAAAGTTGGGAATTCTTCCCCAAGGGCTCTACCCACCTTGTACTGGTGCTCAAAGGAGTTTTGCCATCAGTTTCAGCAGAAGCAAGTTCAGCTTTCCGAGGGACCTGGGAGTGGTGGCTGTGCTTGTGTGTCTGTCCCAGTCATCTCAGATACCTTGGGCCCCTCTGTCTCCCAGGCTGGGATATTGATACTCATCAGATAGTATTTGTTGCTCGTACTGAGCTAACAGTAGGTATCTGCAGAGTTTCTTATCTGGGAACTTATATTATCAAGAGTATTGTTTGAATTCTATATTAATAGCGCTTTCAGGAAAAGTAATGTGTTACCACTATGAAGTTTTACTTGTCTGTGAGATTGAAAAGTCTACTGTGTGGTGAAAGAAAGGAAGAAAAGAAAAGAAGAAGAAAAAAAAAAAACATTCCTATACAATTGACTTTTTTTTTTTTTTTTTTATTTTATGGACTGATTTTACATATCTGCAGCGAGTGAATCAGTCCTCCACTGACAGTAGACTGTGCTATAACTTTCACTAAAATAGGCTGGAGAATAAATGGAGCCTTTTTAGTAATGTACTGAGTTCTGCAGGCTCTGCAAAAGTTGCTGGGAATGCATTCCTTCTCCCCAGGATGTAGTAAATGTTGAATTACTGTATTTACCTCTCTGCTTTTAATTGGTTAATTCTGTGCCAGTTATTTGTGTGTGGGAGAAGAGGGGGATGTATAAAATACTTAATAGTAGGTTCTTTAATGCATTTTTGATTTTCAGCACAGACATACTGCTTCGGGAAAAAATCAGTCAATTGTAAAAGTTGAGAAAATAAATTGATAATATCTATTTCTAAAGGTATTTTTCTTGCAGTCACAAAATGTGAGTTTTGTATTTCTAACCTAATTTGAATTTTTTTCCCAAGTTCTTCTCCTAGACAAAGTTTGAGCCTTTAAATCTTGCTATCAAAATAAATTTGCTTAATGCCCCAGAGAATATCATATCTTCAGTTGTAAAACAGTCATAAATGTTAAAAAAATTAAGTGATTTGAACCATCAAAGAATACTAATAAGTGAAACTGAAGTGCATCACTTCAGAGTCACTATATATTTTATGCAGATATATTTTAAGCTGTAATGCAATATGTAGAAAATATTTAATGATTCTGGCAAAAATTAATCTAATTATCTGTTTGAACAGTTTGCAAGGGTACCAAATAATGTATTTCCTGTTTACCTTACTGCAGTCTTGTGACCTTTCTGATACCAAACATTTACATTTCTGCATCTTTTCTCTGCACATCTGCCTGTCTACAGAATTCTAAATTCTGTAGACAACTTGAGCCAGAGACAAAATGCTTAGTGTTACTCAAATAACTAAATTAAGAAGACTGTCTTGAAAAGCACTTTGTTTTCTGGATTGCACTTTTCATTCACCTTGAATTCCTAAAAAAACATGAGCGCAAGGAGCTTGGTGATCTGATAGATGTAGGAACAAAAGGAAGTTGTGCAGTTATCCTTCAAAATGAAGAGCACTCCACGGTCCATGTTCCTTATTTCTGCTTGTCAAGCAGTTTTCATTTGCTACTTTTTTTTCTTTTTCCGATGTTATGGATAAGTTCCCGTACCAACAAATAGCAGAGAGGCAGAGGTGAAAACGCAACTGAAATTTGTGACTAATTTCAGTACCTGACGTGGTGCCATGAGTTGCTAACTCCAGAGGAAGCTTGGCTCGGACCGAGGCACTGCCCGCCACTCCCAATACAAACACTGTCTTTTGATCACTTTTTTGTTTATGAGCTTCCGTGTTTCAGATGTCCCAAAAAGTGTCCCTGATCCCGTGATGTAGCCTGTAGACCTTAATGCAGGCGCCAAGTGCTACTGGAGACTCCTGAGTTTTGGGTTAAAAAGCTGCAAAAGTGTCAAGTACAAAGTGCCTTCCGTTGGTTGTCTTTGCCCCTGCAGCAAGGTGAAGATAATGCCTGAGAAATGACATGCAGAAATGACATGCTAACTTAAACGTCCTTTCTTGGTAGTTTTGCATTGGGGCTAATTTTGTTCATTTTTGCATCAGATTTTCTGTACAGCTTCCCACAAAGGTTTTGTTTTTAATCTGTTGAGAAAAATATGGATTTTTCTTGTTGACATACTTCCTTTTCCCCTTCTTGTGAGACAATAAAGCATATTTCAGTGGGTTTGTTCTTGCATTCCAACACACAGAAAGGTGTGTGCAACCACTGAAACAGCAAGAAAATGTAAAAGGGGCATGTATTTGTAAACAGGTGGCAAAAGTTATTAACTAACGTATGACCTGTTGGAATAGAAATGCGCAGAAAAGTTGGAAAAAAAATGGTGTGAAACTTTCACTAACTAAAGTGTCATTTTTATTAGGGGTAGATGTTCTGCTGTGCTTAATTTTTAGTTATGAGAAATATTTATTAGTGTAGCTGTAAGCATCTTTGCAGACTATTAAAAAAAAAAAAACTCAAAAAACAAAACAAAAAACCCCAAAGAATTCTTCAAATTAATTGTCCAGTGTTCCTTGTGGTGTGTGGCAATACGATGTTCATATCCTTTGTAGATTAGAAATTAGTTCATAGCTTTATTTCCAAATGTCCAAAATTACGAAGCATAGGAGATAAAGCTCTTTCAGAGCTCACAATTTCACCTTCTAGTCTCTTCACGAATAAAAGGAATTAATTTCAAGGTGGTTCAACAAGCTCAGTCAAACTGGATAAACAATACTGAGTGAATGAGCATGCTATTGTCATTAGACTGGAAGTGCTGAACAATACTTGCATTTTTAGGATCTTGTATATCAGTAAGATACAGCATTCAGTTTAGCAAAAACCCCTTTTAATTTATTTGTTATTGTTTTGCCTCACCGGAGTAGCTCGAGAACTGTGTGGTGGCATGGCAGTTGTGCCATGTGGACAGGACAAAAAGAATTATGAGTCACTGTTGGCTACTTAGGTGGAGTGTTTTCCTTGTTTTATATTGTAAAAGCTGTTTTTCCTCCTACTTTATAATGATAGCCAGAGGGACTGGAGCTTGAACATATTTTGTTCGTTGCAGATTTTCTGTAAAAAAATTTCCCAAGCCCAAAAGATTTTACCATGCCAAGAGCTAATCCTAGGAGGACCGTGGCTAGTATTCTATTAGAGAAGACAAATGAGCTCTTGCTGTATAGAGCTAGTATGGAATGATTCGGGGTTTTCCTTGCTGTTAGTCATATTAATTGTTGTAGGTCTTTGATATAATACCTCTGTGCCTGAAAGTCCTCTCTCCTGAGTTTCACCTGCTTTTTGAAATGAATGAGCCCTGACTCTGTCACTGAGTCTGTAGCAACAAAATATGCACGCAGGAATCCGCCATTCAACTCTGGGCGCTTTAGTGTGAAAAATCATGGTAACTCACCTACAAGTAATAGTGAAGAAGTGCAAGCACAGTCACCCAAATACCTACAGCAATTTTAAGCTGGAACCTCAATTCCAAATGAGCCCTAAATGTTTTATTAAAAAAAAAAAGGTCCCTTTTTTCAGATTGTAAAATGTAAACATAAATGAAAACACACCACCCTTCTATCCCCAAAATCCTAAACTGAAAATAATAGGATTATTAGAAATTAAAATTGTTCTAGCAGTGTTTGAATAGAACCCTTTCTCCCCAAACGTTTCTGCCTCACTCTTCTTCCTGCTCCATGATAAATCCCAGAAGCACACAGCTACGATTGCCGCGCGCTGGTTCCTTTCGAACTCGCATTCGGCACCGAGTCGTGTTCTGCGGGACAGAGCACGATCTGTCAGACCAGTTGCGGTTTGCATCCCCCGGTTCTTCCGTATGCTGTCTG